GAGGTCACACAAGTAAATGGTATCAAAGGCAGAATTTGGACCCAGTTCCTCTGACACCAGAGCTAGATATTCCTCTTCTACTTTGCTTACCAAAAAGGTGGGGTTCTTAATCTCAAACATTCTTTGTATCCCAGAAAACAAAAAACAAAAAAAAATTTTTCATAATTTTTATTTCCAAGATTCACAATCTTTGTCACTAAACAAATAACCAAGAAAAACTTCTTAATAGAATAACATGGAAACAATTGAACTGGCTTATTTTGGAAAATCAATAAGGTTTGTTTCTCCTGGAGACCTAGAAATTCAAGAAGTCAGGACATTTAGTGACAGTGATGTTTTCTGGCAAAACCCCTAATTATGATAAAGTATCCTTATTGCTTAGTAGGAAGAGTACTGATCTGGCTCTCAGGAACCTATGGCCGTGGCCCATTTCTGCCACACAATTAGTCGTGTGACCTTAATTTAATAATTATAATAATAAATATAACAACTATTATTATTATAACAACTAGCATTTATATAGCACTTTAAGGTTTTCAAAGCACTTTACAAGTATCTCCTTTGATCCTCATAACAAACCAGGGAAGTAAATGTTATTATTACCAGCACTTTACAGATGAGGAGACAAAAGCAGACAGAAGTTAAATGACTGGCTAAGGAGTATATAGCTACAAAATGTCTGAAGCTGGATTTGAACTCAAGTTAAGTTTCCTGGAATCTAGATTCAGCACTTACCACCCTGAACATCAACTTCATCATCTGTACAATGATGGAATTAGAGTAAGAGGACTCTGACATCTCATCCCACTTGGGCATTCTAAGATCCAGAGCAGCTGTGTTAAATCTTGATAAATGGAACTCTGAGGTCAAGACACAATCTCTTAATGGCCAATGTAATACAATGGAAAGAAAATCAGATTTGGAATAAAAAAACTAGAATTTTAGTTCTAGATCTGTCACTAACTAGCTGTAAGGCAAATCTAGTACCCTCTTTGGACCTCAACTTACTCATGTCTAAAGTGAGAGGCTTAGAAAAATGACTTCCAAGAACCGATGACCCCATGACCCCATTACCTTCTTGAGTATTGGTGTTTTGTATGGACCCCAGCAACCAGAATGACCTGAGGGCTTTGTAGCAGAGTAAAGGCTAGAAACTTGAATGGTGAATAAATAAAGGAATTTGTCTGGGTTGGCACATCTGTGGAGAACAAATAAAACTTGGCGATGTGCAAGCAGAAGAGGGCAAAAAGCTACAGTAAACACCACTTGTTTTCTCTCCTCTTTTCAGATCTATCCAATTTTCAAGAACAAAATGATCTAAAAGGATTACTAGAAAACCTGCAACAAAATGTCCAGGCCAAAAAGAGAAAGAATGTAGAAATCATATGGCTGGCTGCAACGGTAAGCTCTTTGTGTCAAGCCTATTCTGTCCTTACCAGAGAGCCCAGGGCCCCAGAGGAGACCTGGTCAACTTTTGATTGCTTGTGGCTCCTCCTCTGCTCTGTGGGTCATCCAGGTTGCTTTTATTCTCTGTCACCTCGACTCTTTTATCTTTGCTATCTACTATATGCCCATCACCAATAAGTAAAACACACACACACACACATGCACACGCATATACAAGCCCATGCATATGCACACACAAAAACTCTGGGAAACAAGATAAAAAGAATGAAAAATGGAAGGAGTGAAAAATAGTAAGTAAAGGTTGTCACTGGGTGACTATTCTCTTGAAAATTGAATACAGTTGGTATTTTGGACTAAAGTGAAATGTTTCTGAGTACCTTGAGATTGAATTCAGCCATGGTACTATGCTAGTATTGCCATCTTTGTCATGAGAGTACAGATAATGGAGAGCTAACAATAATATAGGGGCAGCTAGGTGTCATAGTGGATAGAGTATCCTAGAGTATCCTGAGTTCTAATCTGGCCTCAGATATTTACTAGCTGTGTGACCCTGGGCAAGTCACTTAACCCTGTTTGCCTCAGTTTCCTCATCTGTAAAATGAGCTGGAGAAGGAAATGGCAAACCAGTCCAGTATCTTTGCTAAGAAAACCCCAAATGGGGTCATGAAAAGGCAGACACAACTGAACAACAAGTGATTATATTTTGACTTCATCCAGGATGGCTTTCAAAGCCTTCACATACAGTGCCAGCAAAACCCATGACCATTTTGTCCTTTCAATGAGCTCCTATGTGTGGCTATTAATATAGATATTGGCAGAGAAATTGTTGCTGAGGCACAGATTTCAGGACCACAAGCCTCTTTGGATGGGATTCTTCCCCTTATAGTGTGCCCCTGGGGTACAAAAAGAGACTCCTCATTTCTGAGGTCTGTTTCATCCTTGGTTTAGATTTATACCAGCCTCAGGTCATGGCAGGGATTGGGAACTGGAATCATTTAGGTAGCCCAGGGAGCAGTTTTCTAGCTGTCAGTTGGCAGCCATCCAGAGAATGCTGAAGCACCCATGGGTGAAGCAAAGCATATAACTTTGTGATTTGTCAGTTATCATGAGAGGTCCTTTTAGAGACTCTTTCATCTGGGACCTACCTCATGCTTGGGAGGGAGAGAGGAAGGAAGGAAGGAAGGAAGGGAGGGAAGGAAAAAAAGACATTTATTAGGTTCCTATATTCAAAGTACTGCGCTAAGATGTGGGCATGCAAAGAAAGACGTATGACAGTCCTTACCCTCAAGAAGCTCACGTTCTTCTTGCAGAGAGCCTGAGGGTCATTATGATGACTATTGCTTTTTTTATAACTATTGCATAATATTGCTAATGCAACCCAGAGCTTGGTTTCATAAATCTTAGAACACACTTGATTCCATATCATACCACTAGCATACATATGAAAACTCGACCTTTTTTATTTTTTTTCCTGTTGCCAGACCTTTGATTATACACAGTATTACTTCTCCCTTCTGGGAAGAGGGCATAGATAATTCAGCAAGAGGCTATATAAAATAATTTACATAGAATGGAGCGGAGGATAGTAGATTGACTTTCTTGTCATGTCTTCCTTGGTTCCTAAGGAGGAACATCAAAGGGAAAAGCAAGAAACATTCTTTTCAAGGTCTGATTGGAAGTGGCTCCATTGAGCACCCTATTATATTAGATTACGGTTTCTTGAAGAGTTTTTTTTTCTTCTGAGCAACAACTACCTCTTTCTAGCTTCATAATCACCTGAAATCTTGATAAATTCTCACAATATCCCAGGAAGGTAGATTATAGTTGTTTTTGCTGTTTTACTAACATCAAAATAACAATGATAATATCTATTCTATTACTACTAATAATAACAATAAAATTAATAATAAATCAGACTGTTATGATGCTTTAATATTTGTCAGGGCAGCTTGGTGGTGCAGTGCATAGAGTGCAGAGCCTAGAGTCAAGAAGACTCTTTCCTGAGTTCAAATCAGGCCTCAGACACTTAGTAGCTGTGTGACCCTGGGCAAGTCACTGAACCCTGTTTGCCTCAATTTCCTCATCTGTAAAATAAGTTGGAGAAGGAAATGGCAAACCGCTCTGGTATCTTTGCCAAGAAAGCCTCAAATAGGGTCACAAAGAGTTGGACATGAATGTAACCACTGAACAACAAAGAGAGGAACATGACTGAAATGACTGAGCATTAGTCAGTATACTTCCCCCAAAACAAGGCCCAGTAGAATGCAAGTTCCTAGCGTAATCTGTGGCATGTAGGGGCTTAAGAAATGCTGGTTGACTTGAACAGTGTGGGCTAAGTAGAGCTAATATTATCATCTCCATCTTATTGATGAGGAAAATAAGGGTAGAAGAAGAGAAATAACTGACTTGAGCACCAATGGCACCATGCCTGTCAGTTGACATGGCACCCTTCCTCACCTCTACTTCTTGTAATCTTTAATGCCCTTCAAGGACTAGCAAAAGTGAGACATCGTACAAGAAAGACAACCAAGCAAGTCAACTTAGTGGCTCCCTCCAGTTACCACCAACTGCTGCCAGCAGACCTATCCTCATAGGACCCTGTTAAACTTTTCTTCCTCCACCCTCCTCCTCTTCATCTCTTTCATATTTCTCTTTCAAATTAGGAACAAAGAAAATTTATAATAAAATGAAATGTATCTTAATGTATTACAAAATTCATGTTTATGAGTCTTTTTCCTTATGGATATGTCCATATCTTTAGAGTCAAGACTAGGGACTATGTCTACTTCAGCCCTCAAATGAATTCAATTCAGTCCAATCTGAGGCATGGTTATTAAGTGCCTATTGTGTGTCAGGAACTGTGTTAGAACCAGAGATAAAAAAAAAAAAGAAAGAAAAACCATCCCTGCCCTCAAGGGGTTTATATTCCCCTGGGAGGTTTTTTTATCATTTTATTTTTTTTAATTTTTATTTTTTAAATTATTTATTTATTTTTAGTTTTCAACATTTATTTCCGTAAGATTTTGAGTTTTAAATTTTCTCCCCTTTCCTCTCCTCCCCCCTTCCCAAGACAGCATGCAATCTGATAGAGGCTCTACTTATACATTCATATTAAGCATATTTTCACATTAGTCATGATGCATAGAAAAATTAAAACTAATGGGAGGAACAACAAGAAAGAAGAAATAAAACAAAACAACAGTAGAAAAGGAGAGAAAATAGTATGCTTCCCTCTGCATTCAGACTCCATAGTTCTTTCTTTGGATATAGATAGTATTTTCTATTGTGAGTCTTTTGAAGTTGTCTTTGATCCTTGCATTGCTGAGAAGAGCTAAGTCTATCAAGGTTAGTCATCTCACAATATGGCTATTACTGTGTACAATGTTCTCCTGGTTCTGCTCACTTCACTCAGCATCAGTTCATGTAAGTCTTTCCAAGTTTTTCTGAAGTCTGCCTACTCATCATTTCTTATAGCACAATAGTATTCCATTACATTAATATACCACAACTTGTTCAGCCATTCCTCAGCTGATGGGTGTCCCCTTAATTTCTAATTCTTGGCTACCATGAAAAGAGCTGCTATAAATATTTTTGTACATGTGGGTCCTTTTCCCATTTTTATGATCTCTTTGGGATACAGCCCTAGAAGTGGTATTGCTGGGTCTAAGGGGATGCACCTTCTTATAGCCCTTTGGACATAGTTCCAAATTGCTCTCCAGAATGGTTGGATCAGTTCACAACTCCAATAACAATGCATTAGTGTTCCAATTTTCCCACATCTCCGACATTTATCATTTTCCTCTTTTGTCACATTAGCCAGTCTGATAGCGGTGATGTAGTACCTCACAGTCATTTTTATTTGCATTTCTCTAATCAATAGTGATTTGGAGCATTTTTTCATATGACTATAGATAGCTTTAATTTCTTCCTCTGAAAACTGCCTATTCATATCCTTTGACCATTTATCAATTGAAGAATGACTTGTATTCTTATAAATTTGACTCAGTTCTCTATATATTCCCCTGGGAGGTTAATAATGTGTAGATAGATTAGAAAAAATTCAGATACTTGGAAGGTGAGAAGAATCTTGGAAAGACTTCCTGTGAGTTGTGGTATATAAGGATCCCTAAGAAAGCCAAAGATACTGGATATAGAGATGAGGATGGAATGTCTTCCACATCCATAGAGAATCTGCAAAGAGGTGGAGGTTGACATGACAATATTGAGAAATGCTCATTCTCAGACAATCTGTGAATTAACTTTGGGTCAGATTAGCCTTGTGCAAGCTTCTGTTGATTATTTTTTTAATTAATTGATTTATTTTTAATTTTCAGCATTCATTTCCATAAGCTTTTGAGTTTTAGATTTTCTCCCCCTCCCTTCCTGCCTCACTCCCCACAACAGCATGCAATCTGATATGCGCACTACATATACATTATTATTAGACATATTTTCACATTAGTCTTGGTGTAATGAAGAATTAGAACCAATAGGAGGACCTAAAAGAAAGGAAAAATAAAACAAGAAAAAAAGAGCAAATAATGTGCTTTGATCTGCACTCAGACTCTATAATTCTTTTTCTGGACGTGGATGATCATTGTTTTTGACAAAACCATTGGGGGAGTTTGTCATACTTATAAGGAATAGCATGTTAGGATGGATATTTGAACATCTTACCAAGCTAGGTGATGTGCACAGGCCATGACCCTTTGGGAATGACAGTGATTGGTAGATTTTGATGGGTGGCTTCAATTTCATAGATGCTGTTTGATAGGCTCCATAGGAACCAGGGCAGTTACCCATTTTGTGCTTGGGGAAAAAAGTGCCTTTCCTTCCCACAGGTAGGTTCTATGTTCACATGCACGAATGGTCGCACTTCTAACACAGCCACTGCAGGGGTTACCCCTTAAGTCAGTGCCCAGATCTCTCCTTTATTCCAGCCCTCACCAGAATGACAACACTGCTAAGAAAAAAAAAGTTCTTAGGTGAAAAAAAATGAAATTACAAAATGAAAAATCTTACATCCAGAGGAAGAGTAATGTAATGGGACTAAAAGTAGACTTGGAATCCAGAGATCTGGTTGGAAGTTTGAGCACGGCCACATTTAAGCTGAATTATTTTGGGTAAACTTCTTTACCTTTCAGAATCTCAATGTCCTTATGAGTAAAATGTCATAGATTTGTTGCAAAGAGGAAATGACAAGGCTTTGAAAGGTATTTTGTAACATGTAATGCAAAGGTACCCTATTATTATGATTTATTTTTAATAGTATTTTATTTTTTCCCAATTACATGCCGACAATTTTTAGCATTCATTTTTACAAGATTTTGAGTTCCAAATTTTTCTCCCTCCCTCTTTCTCCCCTCTCCTTTTCCTAAAATGGTAGGCAATTTGATATAGATTATACATGTGCTATTATGTAAAACATATGTCCATATTAGTCACAGTTGTGAAAGAAGAAACATCTGAAAAGGGTGACAAAAAACTCAACAAGAATGAGTAAGTGAAAAAATAGGCTTCAATTTGCATTCAGAGTCCATCAGTTCTTTATCTAGATATGTATAGCATTTTGCTTCGTGAATCCTTTGTATTTGTTTTAGATCATTGTGTTGCTGAGAAGAGCTGAGTCATTCACAGTGGATCATCACATGATGTTGCTGATACTGTGTACAATGTTTTCCTGCTTCTGCTCATTTCACTTTGCATCAGTTTGTACAAGTCTTTCCAGGTTTTTCTGAAATCTGCCTACTCATCATTTGTTATTGCATAATAGTAGTCCATTATATTCATATACCACAGCTGGTTCAGCCATTCCCTAAATGATGGGCATCCACTCAGTTTCCAATATTTTGCCACCATGAAAAGGGCTGCTATAAATATTTTTGCACATTTAGGTCCTTTTCTCTTTTTTTGATTCCTTTGGGATACAGACCTAGTAGTGGTATTGCTGGATCAAAAGATATGCAGAGTTGTTTAGTCCTTTGAGCACAGTTTCCAATTGCTCTTCAGAATGGATAGATTAGTTCATAACTCCACCAAGAGTGCATTAGTGTCTGGATTTTACAACATCCTCTCCAACATTTATCATTGTCCCTTTTTGTCATATTAGCCAATCTGATAGGTGTGAGTTGGTACCTCAAAGTTGTTTTATTTTGCATTTCTCTGATCAAAAGTAATTTAGAGCACTTCTTCATATGCCTATAGATAACTTTGATTTCTTCATCTGAAAACTGCCTGTTCATATCCTTTCACCATTTCTCAATTGAGAATGGTTTGTATTCTTATAAATTTTACTCAGTTCTCTATATATTTGAGAAATGAGGCCTTCATCAGAGATACTTGCCTTGAAGATTGTTTCCCAGCTTTCTGATTTTCTTCTATGCTTGGTGGCATCAATTTTGTTTGTGCAAAAGCTTTTTAATTTAACATAATCCAAATTATCTATTTTACATTTTGTAATGCTCTCTATCTCTTGTTTGGTCATGAATTCCTCTTCTCCCCATAGATCTGACAGGTAGACTATTCTTTGCTCTTCTAATTTGCTTATGGTGTCACCCTTTATGTCTAAATCATGTACTCATTTTTTATCTTATCTTGGTATATAGTGTGAGATGTTGGTGTATACATAGTTTGTGCCCTATTGGTTTCCAGTTTTCCCAGCAGTTTTTTTTCAAGTGGTAAGTTCTGTCTACTTTCATTTTATAGGAAAGTTCATCCCAATCACATTCACAGTTATGATTACTAACTGTGTATGCCCCTGTGTCTTATTTTTCCTCCTGTTGATCTTCTCTCTCCTTTCACCCTTTCCTTCCTTGACAGTGTTTTGTTTCTGTCTACCACCTCCCCTGGTCTGCCCTCCCTTCTGTTATCCTCCCCCCCCCCGCCCTTTTACTTAATTTCTTCCCCTCTTACTTTTCTGTTGGGTAAGATAGATTGTGTATATTATACCCTCTTTGAGCCAATACTGATGACAGTAAGGTCCAAGTGATGCCCATCACCCACCTTCCCATCTTTCCCTCCACTGTAAAAGGTTTTTCATGCCTCCTCATGTGAAATAATTTACCCCATTCTCTCCCTTCCTTCTGCACCCAATGTACTCCTCTTTCTCATCCCTCAATTTTTTTTTATGTCATTCCTTCAAATTTACCTTACGACCTTACCTTCTATGTATATTCCTTCTGCCTGTACTATTAGTGGTACAATTTGTAAGAATTACAAGTATCTTACATGTAATTAGAAAAAAATGAAATGCTATTAAGTGTGGTGGGGTGGGGGGGAAAGAATTACAAGTATCATCTTCCCATGTAAGAATGTAAACAGTTCAGCTCCATTTCTTTTCCATTTTACCTTGTTAAGCTTCTCTTGATCAAATTTTTTGTTCAATTTTGTTCAATTCTGGTCCTCTTTTTAAAGCTTGAAATCCTTCTATTCTGTTGTTTTTTCCCCTGAAGTATTATGCTTAATTTTACCAGGTAAGTGATTCTTGGTTGTAGTCCTGGATGCTTTGTCTTCTGGAATATCATGTTCCATGACCTCCAATCCTTTAATGTTGTAGCTACTGAGTCCTGTGTAATCCTGATTGAGGCTCCCCAATACTTGGATTATTTCTTTCTGACCACTTGCAGTATTTTTTCTTTTCCCTGATAGTTCTGAAATTTGGCTATAATGTTCCCTGGAGTTTTTATTTTAGGATCTCTTTCCTGAAGTGATCGGTGGATTCTTTCAAAGCCTATTTTGCCCTCTGGTTCCAGGATATTAATGCATCCTGATGAAGAAACTCTGTATACTAATGTTTAGAGTCTTAGAAAGTTGTCTGGAGCACTAAAAGTGCTTGGAAAAGTCTTGTATATGAGGTAGTGTCTGGAACCCGCTTTGTGTCATCATACCAGGAATATTGCAAAATTTTTAAAAATGTGGTCAATAGGAGGTAGCTCAAAATATTTTGCCTTTCCAATGGTCAATAGACCATCTACTCTGAAGGCAAGTTGCATTCAATTTTTATCTTTTTATCCCCAGCACCCAACACAGAGCCTGGCAACAAAATTATTGCAGTAGTGAAGCTCTATCCACTTCAGGTTAATGCTAATGTTTGCCAAATCACATTTTATCTATACTAGAAATTTAGCACCTTAAACATGTTTTCAATAATCCCTTTAACACAGGGAGAGAAACACATTTGCCTTGTTGTTCTACTACCTTTATAGCAGAGTTTTAATTTAAGAAATAGTTACATTTAGGAAACCATTCAAAATTTAAAAGAAGTGGGTTGGACTTATAGTTCGTATCTGAAGGTAGGTTTCTACAGTCTACAATCATCTTTTTTTTTAAAATTATACTCTGTTATGGAAATGCTTGTTTTATTCCTTGAATTAAAATTTTTATTAAAAACTTAGAATTTTGGGATTTCGTAGATTAAAAGCTTGAAGAGACCCTGAGGGGCATTGAATCTGAATCTCTTATTCTTCACAAGAAGAAACTTAGCCCACAGAGGTGAAAAGGCTTTCCTGCCCAAAGGGGACCTTGGACTCCAAAGTCAATAATTCTCACCCTTGGACCATACTGCTTTATTTCTGTAGCATGATGATATTTCAAAACAGCCTGTTAACAAGCTATAATCTATTTTTGGTATTGCAGATTTGCCGCAAACTTAATGGGATTCGAATGACCTGTTGTAAAAGTGCCAAAGATAGGACGTCTATGTCAGTTACCCTTGAGCAGTGCGCCATCTTGAGAGATGAACATCAATTGCACAAGGACTTCTTCATCCGAGCGTTGGATTGTATGAGAAGGTACCATACCGCTATTGTTTTCTGCTTCCTCCTTCTCCACCCCTTCCCAAGCCATTCCTGCCTTCATTATTTCAAATGCATGCCACACTCTGTGATCAAACACTTAGTGTTACTAAGAGGATTTTGATTATTTGCCATTTGTGACATGAAAGATAAAAGAAATTCATGTCTTCTGCTACATGCCTTTAGTCTATAAAAAAACACTCAGCTTCATTTTTTAGTGGGGGGATGGGGAGGGAAGAAGGGATCGTTCTCATTTTTAATAATAGCCAGGGAACATGTATTTCATCGTGATTCATTAAGACATGAGTTGAAAGGTATGTGTGCAGAGAATGTTAGAGCTGGAAGGAACCTCAGAGATGAGGTCCAGTGCCATCATTTTATAAATGAATCAAATATGTAATTTTTTGGAAAAGCATTTGCATCGAAAATCATAGAGTCTTAGAATGTCAGTGTGGTACGGAAACCTTAAGATCATCTGGCCTGATCTCCTCGTTTTGCAGATGAGGAAGTTGAGTTCCAGTAAGTGACTAGCCCAAGGCAACATAACTAGTTAGTATCAAAGTTTGATCCATTATCCACTAAGTTTTCTTGACCAATAACACCTCCATACAGCTTAAATAAAGCACAGGCTTCCAAAGGTGTGATTAATAATACACCTCCCCTGAAACGCCTGCCTTCACACTGGTAACCTCCTTCCTTGCATTCTTTTCATATCATTTGTCAGGTGAATAGAATGATACTTGAAAAAATAAAGAACAGTGTAGCAACACAGATGGCTTAAATACTGTGCCTAAAGTCATGCTTCTGGGTTCATTTCCAAAGTAATTAAATCTAGAGTCAAAGCAGTAATGGAGGAAAAGTGCCTTGTTCACAACGTCTGTCAGCAAGGACAGAAGATAATCAAAAAGTTAAACAAACTTGTCTCTTTGTTACAAAGGATGGATTAGAAGAGTACCCATAATATGGCTCAGCAAGTCTACCCTGCCCCCAGCTTTATACTTCCACATGATACATTGGAGGGGGCTACTGTTTCCCTGGAATGTCATTAACCTCCCAGGACCCTTTATCTATGCAACAGCTTAGCTAGCAGCTGACAGTGATGTGTGCTATCTTTATGCCAATTACACATTTTTCCCCCCTACTCATGAAAAATCCCTGAAGTTCCTCAACTTTTGTTATTTCATATCCTTTTTTGGCATTTTCATCATTCATTTCTTCATTTTTGGATTAAAGCATGTGGATATCAGAGCCTTGACATGGATATTTTGACTATAAAAAACCCACTAACTTGATGTCAAATATTTTCATCCAAGCATTAGATGCAGCATCTTGGTACAGAATTCTTTATCTCTCATTTAAAAATCCCATATAAGTTTGATAAAATGGGTTTTATAAAATGGCAAAGGAAAACATTTGGAATATGTGATATACAGGTCAGATAAACCCTTTGGCCTAGCAACGGTTTAAATGAATATGATATGTTATCTGAAAGGTAATGTAATCAATGTATAGCTATTGTTCGAGGTTAGGAACAAATGAAAGTAAATAAAGTATCCATGTACTTTGTAATATAACTCTAGAATATATAACGAGGTAGTGTGCTGTAACAGATAGAGAGAGATGGCCTTAGACATAAGAAGTCCCGAGTTCAAGCTTTCTGTGTGACCCTAGGCAGGTCACTTAACTTCTCAATCCTCCCAGCAACTCTCTAAGACTGTAAGTTATAGAAACGGTGTTCCCCTTATCAGTGAAATTATAGAGCCAGCCCCTATCCCTATAACTAGTGAATGAAAGTATGTATTTTTATGTCATACAATTTAAGGAAATGATGTCAATCCTGAACTTCACATAGTATGCCATACTCTCCCAGAATGAAGACAAGTCAGTCATAGCCATAAGTTAGATGGCCAGTTTGTGAGTGTGTTACCTGAGGTGATAACCATCAACCTTTGAGTAATTTCAGGTGTCCCCCCAAAATATCTCAAGAAATTTTGCTTTTAAAAGGACCCTGACCAGCTCCTAGGTATTGAAACTCTCAGTATTTCCCAGAAGTTCCTGTCCTTAATTGAAGGACCACCATACAAGTTCAAGTTGTAGTCAACTATCCCTTCAGATTAACCTGAGCTAAGTGGAATTCCTAAGGAAAGCTCAGAATAACCATTTCCCAGGTGTTCTTTCACAAAGAGCTGGTTTAAGTTTGCATCAAAACCCCTGTCCCAGAAGTGGGTGGATGAGGCTCTCTGTCCCCAGAGTTGACAATAACCCAAAGAAAGTTCAGCATCTTTAGATGTTCTAGAAATAGTCAAGAGTCTGTTGGTCTAGGAAGGAAGATTTTTAAAAGCTGGGCACAATATACCCACTTTGAGCTCTAGGTGTGACCTCTGATAAAGCTCAATTTGCAGTATCTCATGGTCCCACTTAAATACACATTCTGATGTGCGACTGTTTGTATTCCTTCCTGATACCCAGGAACTCTGGCTTCCCTTTTTGAAATTACTGGGACCTCAGGACTATAACAAGTCAAATACCTCTTCTTTAGCAAGGCCCTCTTATCACAGTCCCTAGAACTGGAATTTCTTTGTGCACTGGAATTAGTGTTCATACTTGTGATTATGGGCTGGAGGCACCTTCATCTTTCTTTAACTTTATGTTCCTTAATTCAAGTTTCACCTTTCTGCACAATCATATCACTTTATCTACATTTAATTTCCTCCTCTGTGTTTCACATCACTAGTTTCAGCATCAACTCACTAAAACTGAACAAACATACTCACTCCATCTCCATCTTCAACACACTCCATCCAGTTAGCCCTGGGGGTTCCTACTTTACCTACACCATGGATTACCAGCATAAAGAAGTGACGGAAGTTTTCTTTATAACACAGGGGGAAATTAATCACCCTCTCAATCAATCCCCTTCAAATGTAAGGAACCTCTTCAATTCAGGACACAGTATAATAGTAAACACGTAGGGAAAACAGCATTTTTTCTCAGGTGGTCAATTTAGTTTATGATATCAAAGTATGATTGCTAAAGCCAGGAAGAATTCAAGGAAGTAAAACAACAACAAATAGAAGAACAGAGGTGATAAGAAGGTATGATGTATGGGAGAGGTGAATGTAATCTAATTTCTATGTTAGAAAAAGCTACCTCCTCTCTGGAGTTATAAAATGTAACATCGATATATAAACTCCAGCAGCTTTATTGTTATAATCCTCACTTGGAATGTGAGCATTCATCTTTGACAACCCTTTTCCTATCATGTACTCCATAATGTCTATAGTGAGGCAGAAACATAACTTACACATCTGGGAATCAGTTTCAGGTTGGTTGCCAATTTTCTCTGTTCTTTTGGGCAAGTCACTTTATCAGCATGGGTCCCAGTTTCTTTCTTTATAAAATGAGGGAGCCGTGCCCTCTTTTAGGTTCTTCCAGCTCCAGTATTCAGTATGTACATGGCACTATGTCCGATAAAGCCACATTCATCCAGACCCACTATCTTGGGATTGTCAGAAAGTTAAAATTTATAAAGAGATTGGGTAAAATTTTCACCTCTTTTTTAAGAAGAGACTTTCAAGCAAATTTCTATCATAAATAAGGTTACACCGAGGAGCCAGATAGCCAACTTCAATAAACCAACCTTTAAAATTGCTTTGTGCAGAGATTTGTGCTGGGAATGGAACATACAAAATTGTTCCTAGGTGCCCATATACAACTTGAGTGATTCATGTGTATGTAGATAAGTAAATCTGAGGTCATTTGAGAATTGAGACACCTAAGGAAGACTTCTTGGATAAGGTGATGCTTGAGATGAGGCTTGAAGGGATTGAAAGATCCTGAGATTCAGAACTGGAAAGACAGATCAATACAGGCAGGAAGAGTGCCTTGTACAATAAAGGCATAAGGTGAAAAGGCAGGTTTGGGGAACACCTAATAGTCCAAATTGACTGGAACATAGAGTATGTGGGTAAAATATGAAATGAAGAAAAGCAAATTAAAGACTGAGGAGGGAGAATCTTAAATGCTTAGTACTTTATATTTAGTTCCCTTAGTAAGTTGGATCCTAGTGGCAACAAAGAACTGATGAAGGTTTTTAAGAGAGAAAAGATGTTCAAACCTGTATCTTAGGAAAATTATTTTGGCAGCTGTGTGGAAGTTGTATTAGGAAGAAAGACTGGAAACAAGGGATCCAATAAACAGGCTAGTACAATAGTACAAGTGAGATGAAAAAGGCTTTAACTTTGGTGGTAATCACGTGAAAGTGGAAAGAAGGAGACGTGAATGATGCACAGCTAGAATTAGCAAGTAAATGGATATGGAGGTCAAGGGAGATGGGAGAGTGTGGGACGATTTCAAGATAATGAACTGATGACTGGAAGCATAGTGGTGACCCCAATGAAAAAAGGAATGTTTGGAAGAAACAGTCAGAGGGAAGATGATAAGTTCTATTTTGGCCACGTTAATAGCTGTTGATTCAAATTACCATATGTATGAAGAGTAAATCATGGACTTTGAAGATGTCTAGATTATGTACTTCAACCTCTGCATTTTATAGATGAGAAAACTGAAGCTAAGAATAATTAAGTAATCTTCAGGAGTATAGCACTAATTAATGGACAGAACCAAGAGTAGAAATCCCGTCTCTTGTTTTCCATTTGATTGCTCTTCCCTAGTTACATCACTTCTTCTATATTTCCTAAAATTATAAATTTAAACTATATTTCTTGAAATTATTCAGTAACATAGTTTTCACCAGTTAATGTGGCTGTTCAAATTGTTACCAAAATTGTTAACTTTACCATGGATTTTCATTGCCTGGACATGGTTCTGCTACCTTCTTTACCCTTTAAAACCCTTTTAAAATACTCTTTAAAATCTCGAAATGGATTTGTAATAGCTTCAAGCTAAGTAGTTCATTGTTGCCTTTATTCTGCTTAGCTCAAAGTGTAAGTAACTAAGCTCCTCTTCAAAAATGAGAAACAGGGTTCAATGTAGGC